TGTCTGTCTGTCTGTCTGTCTGTCTGTCTGTCTGTCTGTCTGTCTGTCTGTCTGTCTGTCTGTCTGTCTGTCTGTCTGTCTGTCTGTCTGTCTGTAAAGATGCATTCCGGGCGAAATAATTAAGCTTCAGGAAGTTGTTTTAAACGAGGGGGCGGTCAAACTTTATTTTGTATCGTGCAAGCAGCATGCATATTTCTTCTCAAGATTTCAGTTTTAATACGAGACCATACGAGTTTATATGTTGGATTGCAAACGATTGACATTCGACAATATCAAAGTATAAATCAGGTAAGAATGGCTTTATTTCTTTCTGGTGATATACATTAAGGCATTTAAGATATTTAGATCTGCTGTTTAGCATTCGATACAGAGCCAGAGGTATCAGTGAAGCATATGATTTCATGATGTCAATAATGTCTTACTTTATATACAAGGAGTGAAAATGTACTTTTAGTTTATTTGTTTGTGTGGCGATGTGCCAAGGCATAGTTAATAGAAAATTAATTTATAATGCTCATTGCTGCGGAAGCGAGCGAGCCTGAAGCGATACGCTTCGCCAGTCAGGGGGGGGATCCCTAAATAACTCGAAACAGAAATTGAACACGTTCAACAAAGAAGCCTGAGAATCCTAGGGCAGGAGAAAGAGGCTCCCCACACTAAAAGAAAGAAGGGAAAAGGCAGCATGCAACGAGCTGAAAAAAATCGTGGTCCCAAACAATCCATGTAACCGTTATCTAGCCAACTGCAGAAATAATCAAACTTACGAACTGAGAGATAGAGATAGATAGTGTATTTAAAATTCACCTTGCAGCTGAACAGCTGAATTGCGTGATTTTACAAGAGTATATAAAACATTATTTAAAAGATAGAATATGGGTTAATTAGGCATATTTACAAATGGTCATTAAAACGCTTAGTACTAAAAATTACATTAACTTAAGTTACTAGACATAGGAATAAAAGTTTTTTTAAATCTTTCTGTATTAGTTTCGAATCGTTCAAACAGTCTATTGTTCCTAAGTTGGTAAACCGACTCATGTTTGGGAGGCAGTAAATTATGCAGTTTGTGTGTCGGATTGTTAATAATATTTGTGAAAAGTTTGTTACACATTTCTTCGCGTCTTTGGAACAAAGTTTGAAGATTAAAATATTCTAAAGTTTCGCTATATGAGTTCGCGGGTAAAATGATCTTCAGTGCTCGCTTTTGTACCGTCTCAAGATCTTCTGACAGGAAGGATGGGATTGAGTAATGGAAAACCGGGGCACAATATTCCAAAATGGGCCTGATAACTGTACAGTAGAAGTTTACAATGTCTTTCGGACTGACTTTTGCGCGCTTAAGTAAGATAATGAAGTAAAGACGTTTGTTAGCTTTTTTGATGACTTCGTTAATGTGGTTAGTCCATTTAAGGTTACTAGAGATGGTGAGGCCTAGAATTTTAGCGTTTTGGACAACCGGCAATTTCTTCCCGTAGACTGTAAGAGGGTCGAAGTTCTGTTTCGTGGATTTAAAGTCGATTTGGAGTTCTTTACATTTATCTGCATTAAGAAGTAATCTGTTGGAATTCGACCAGTTTTCTACTGTGGTAACTGCGTCTTGGGCTTTGCTGGTATCGCCTTTTTTAACAACCTCAGAAACGGTTGTATCATCGACGTACTTCCAAGTAGATACTTCAGTGATTTTAAGATCATTGATCATCCATAGAAAAAGCCATGGCCCAAGTTTCGTGCCTTGAGGGACACCAGCCGGGACAGCACCCCACTCTGAAACGCAGTCGGTTGCGAGTTTAACTCTTTGTTTTCTGTCCAATAGAAAATCAATAGTCCAGCGTACGACTGCCTAATTCGGAATTGGTAATCTGGAGATCTTATCAGCGAGTATACAATGGTCAATAAGGTCAAACGCTTTTTTATAGTCGAACAGGGCTACTCTGACTGCTGCGCCAGTGCCATCAGTTGATTGGGACCAATTGTGGATCATTGATATCGCTGCCATAGATGTAGAGGATTTTGGTATCACTCCAAATTGGTTGGGGTCGATTTGACACAGAATAGCTGGCCCAATGTATTTAGAAACAACGAATTCTTCTGCTACTTTAGAAAGGGCTGGGGTGAGGGATATTGGTCTTAAATGTTTACAAATTTCGGTTACCGGTTTCGTTTTTATGATTGGAACAACATCAGCTGCTTTCCACGAGGCAGGGAGTCGTTGTTCATTAAAACTGCTATTGAGAATCGAACTGACAGGCTGGGCGAGAACTTCTGCATATTCGTTTAACACCCAATTCGGAACACGGTCTGGGCCTGAGGCTTTTCTGGGGTTAAGGGACGCAAGCTCTTTATACACATCAAATTCGTCGAGATGGAGGACAGAGTCATTTGGATCGTAGGAGGGAAGAGAAGTAAGAGGTTGGTAAGTTTTCATGGGGTCTAGGAAGGCTGTGTTTATGAGATTTGCAATCTCATTTGGAGACTTCCGGTCAAAATCGTCAATGTGAATTTGATTATATAGATCTTCCGCTCCCGTTGAGGGGGTCATACCAGCAATCTGTTTTACTTCTTTCCACCAACGACTTGGTTTTGACTTTTTTAGATGTTCAACCTTCAACGAATAAAACTTTTCACGGCATTTTTTTCTTTCGCGATTAACTCGGTTGCGGTAATACCCTAAACAGTTTGTTATTGCCGTTAGAAAATGCTGCTTGGAGTTTTTTTATAAGAATCTTAAAATTAGCTGTGATCCAAGGGGGATCATTCACATGTAGTGTTATTCTTCTTTTGGGCATTAGGATATTGATACCCAGGTTAATAAGATCAGTGAAAAGCTCAAGTTTTTCTTCACAGGTTTCGAGATGATTTAGGATGGACCAATTACAGGAGGTTAGGTATCTTCCAAGTTCGCTCTTTTTACTGGGACGCATGTCTCTACTTATGACGACCTTTCGACTACCTGATTTATCGCATCTGTTTTTAGGGTTTAGAATGACACATTGTGATCTAAGAGGCCAAAGGGAGGATGTTTCTCTACAGAGTCTTTAGCGTAAAACGAGTATAAGTTGGTAATAATTAGATCAAGAGTCTTGTCAGCTCTGGTAGAAACATTGACCATTTGTTTGCATTGAAACTGGTTCAGTAGACGGTTAACTTTTAATTGGTTGAAGTCTCCTGATAACATTAGACCACAGCCTGGATAATCGCTTTCAATGGTGGTAAGTGATATTGAAAGGTAACTGAGCATTTCATGATCATCGGCGCGTGGTGGGTGGTATATTACGCCAATTACAAGACAGGTAAATCCACGGGGTAATCTTTTGGGAGTAAGACGTACCCAGAGAACCTCTAACAAGGGATGCTGTAGATGGTCTAAACATTCAAAGGATATTGAGTTCTTAATATATAAACCCACACCTCCATGACAGCCCACTGAACGGTTTTTGAAGATGAAATTGTATCCATCTATATAAAGATACGATTCGTCAATTGATCCATGGAGCCATGTTTCGGTGATACAAGCAGCGTCTGGATTGTGAATTTTCATAAAACAAGAGACTTCGTCAATTTTAGGGGTGAGTGACATGGTGTTTGTGAGTAATATTTTGGGCACGAACGTCTTTTTGTTCTCATTTTGGGTTTTAAATGAGACAGTAATTAAATTACCGTGTGTTCTTGAGGGTATTTTATAAGATTTGTTAAAACTTCTGTTTGTGATTCTAACCGTTATGTTTTGTAGGTTTTCCTGATAAGGGGGATATGTCATGAGTTTATGATCGTGGATGTTCAGTATGTCAGCGGGGGCCAAGTAAGAGCATTCATCAGTGGGGGGGGGGGGGAAAGGAGGAATCATAGGCCAGGGGGAATGGGACAAAAAAGGTGACCTTGTGTTGTGTCTCGTATCTGGTTGAAAAGGGGGAGCACATTGATAGATAGGGGTATGTAGGGAAGAAGTTGGATAAGCAGTGGCGTTCATCCTGAGTCTGGGAGCCACCATACCATGAGAAAAACCGATATGAGAATAATCACATTGATCCCCTTTCAAACAAAAACCATTCCTTCGTAGAAAATTATAGGACAGGATATTTTGTGTTTGTCACGACCAGGCTCTTTATGCTGAAAATCACAACGGTTCCCTTTAGCGCACCATCCTCGGCGGGATAGAAAGGGGCAAGGGATAGAGCTTTTGGGAGAGTTGACATACTTGTTATTTTTATCTTCGTTACTGACGCGGTTAAATTTTGTTTGATAATGTTTAGATAATGTTAGGTTAGATAATGTTTGTTTTCCGTTCTTGGGCAAGTTAATTTCTATATTCTGGGCGATTAAAGGCTTGGCAGAGGCTCGTCTGCCGTAAGGTCTGCTTTCTGTTTAATTAGGGAATTAGGCTGGGACTCGTCTGCCATACGATCGTCTGCCGTAAGATCTACTTTCTGTTTAGTTTGAGAATTAGGCTGGGGCACGTCTGTCGTAAAATCAATATTACTTACGGACGGACTAACATATTGTTGGTTATCGTGAGGTAGATTGTTATCGATATTTCGAGGTGAACTCAAACTGTTTTTATTCAAATTAATAGATTGCTTGCGGTTACGCGTTGAGGGTTCTTTTGAAATATTAGATAGGTTAATCGCTCCACTGCTTTTGTTCCGATACTCTTGGGACGTTATCGCACATAGCCAACGTGTTCACAATTTAATTAAATTAAACTGAGGACTGGAGACAGCTTTCAAAGACAGTCCTCAAAAACACACAGACATACACACAGACATACGTCTTATTCCGCGTACATTATTCAAATTCATGAATGATAATAGTCTGTCAACTTTAAATTTTTGACATTTTCATTAGGCTTATGCATCAGTCAATTCTAGCATTGCCCATCCCCCCCGGCCAACCCCCGTGCATTTGCACTTTTATTTTGCCCGGGGGCCGGGCATTGGTACTTGAAAAGTTGTTCCGGGGGCGGGGAATTGTTTACCGGCCGGACATTTGACTCGACCGGACGTTTCTGCGCGACGAACATGTGCTATTATATTAAAATGGCGTCGAAGAATTCGAGGGTAAAAACGAGGATTTTGTCGATATTTTCATTCACAAAACGTCACACCAATCGCACATGGGAAACTAATTAAAGTTGTGTTTAACTATCTAGCCTAAAAATACTAGAATTCATAGTACAATCCTTGTTTATTTTGTTACGTTATTGTATATTAACCACTGAACCGACGAGCACGTTTTTTAACTGCTGTAGCTTTTTTACAAGGAAGCTAATATACTGTTATGGAAGTTTTGAGGTCTAAAATATTTCTATAAACGAGTCGGTGTGCCCTGGGGCCGGGCATTTGTCATCTTTTTTTGGCCCGGGAGGGGGGATTGCCACGCTTTTCCTGCCCGACCCCCCGGAATTGTCAACTTAAAGAAAAAAAAATTGCAAATGCCCGGGGGTTGCCCGGGGGGATGGGCAATGCTAGAATTGACTGATGCATAATATATATACATGTATTTATATATTTTACGTTGTAAATCCATTGTATTTATATGTCAAAGATTGATTAAAATTATCGCAAAATTGCAATACAAAAACACTTCTCGTGAACAAATTTTATTCATATTATAGATACTCATGAGTCATTTGTCTTTACATGGGAAAATACCTTATAATGAACGATATAAATTCATAATTCATAAAAACCCGATGATGTACGTACGCAGTTATTCTTACATAGCATAGGCAGTAATCTGTACTTCATGTATCCTGCGACATTTCCTGCGACAGGATTGGCACTGTGTCATCAGAAGCATGGCGATGGCCCACTTGAACTGTAGAAGTTGGCGCCAGAACCGTGCGAACTACCACTACACGAGTACGTGAACGTCGCATAACCCATGCCACCAAGAGTGCGATTTTTAAACCAACAACTATGATTACAGCGATCACTATAACGGGGGTCTTCCAGCCGATATGTACTGTTGAATCTGAACGCGAACCAGAGAAGTCCTCATGACCAAAAATTATCGGTTGTTCATCGTCGTGACACACCTCAGCCTCAGGGTCTCGGCACTTCCCTTCGTAGCAACAGCGACTGGCGCAAGCTTCTTTTAACGAACAGTTTGAGTTCTGAGGCAAACATCCAAGACCTGTTGTCTGGCATATGCCTAATTCAGCAATACAGCAGTCGGATGGACATATTTCATCAGAGCAAGGTATAGTCGGTGTCTGCGATGAATCGCAATCTGATTTTGGGTCGTTACACTTGCCATTCGAACAACAACCCGAATCTCCACAGTCTTCGTCCGAACTGCAATCCACGTTATCACAGCTATCCATACATCTTATCGAGCCTTCTTCCCCACAGCAGTTGTACTTACATTTCATTCTGTTTATTAAGTAATAACATTCTCTCGCTCGTGTGTACGCTACAATAGCACAAAAGGCCACAGCGAGCAGGCAAACCTTATTCATTGTCGATATTAAGCTTTGCCTATCTGACACACTTTAACTTACTAACGTTTGGGAAGATTTGCTATATTCTGAAACGACAACTGTTGAGTATTTGCGACGGCCCCAAACGAATTGCATATCTGTTCACTACAGCGCGTTTGATTGGTTGTAATCTGGTGTCTTGTTGTTTATGACGTCAGTGTAAATAAAGATGAATGTTAATGAGGTGAACATGCTTGGCTTGCCACAGGCGGCCAAATTTCAGAGTAGTGAATTATCAGGAGTTGCGGGGTTTTTCTACTCAACCAAAACTATTCTAAGAATCTAAGGGCCTTTTCATATGGGGAAAAGTTATCCCGGTTAGCGAGAAAACATTTCGACTAGCCAAATAATTTTGTTCTGTTCATATGGAGAAACGTTATCCCGCTTACCGGGTAAAGTTTCCGGCTTGTGACGTAGCACTGGTGTGACGCGCAAGGCGGGAAGAGTTAAAAAAAAAACACTTTAAATACATTTTAGAACCGGAAAAGTTGCTGACACGACAGAAAGTTTTCCCGCTAAGCGGGAATTAAAGTTGTTGCTATGTTGTATTCATATTGGAAAAACATTATCCCTGTCAACAAGCGAGATCTCGGTACCCGGGAAAACATTTCGTCTCATATATGAACGCAGCGTAACTTTTCATATTATTTTCGTAACAAGTCCAAGATCTTGCCTGTAAACTTATCGAAATGTTTTCTCGCTAACCGGGATAACTTTTTCCCATATGAGAACCGCGAAAGCTTGGGTTCTAATGTAAATAAATATAGCGGATTCACCCTCGGTCCTGGGACCGAGGATGGTATTTGCATATGTAAATGTTTACGGATTAATAGAAGCAAGATATTGAACAGTTCAGGTGCCGTACACTTTATTTTAACTGCTATTTAGATAGAATACTATTTATTGACTATTGTTGTCAAATTGAATTTGTCCTAAAGCCCGTGCAAGTTTTGAAAAAAATGATTAGCGTGATAAATTGCCTTAAAATTTGCCGTGGCAATTCTGGGCCGCTTAAAAAATGTTGTGCATTGTTTCCTCATTTTTTTGCCGTGCCCTTCTGGGCCACCGTAACTACTTTGCCGTGTTGTTTCCATAAATATTTGCCGTGGCACCTCTATAGGCTGCTTAAAAAAATTCTGTGTATTGTTTCCTCGACTTTTTACCTTGGCCCTTGTGGGCCACCGTATAAACCGCTCTAAATGGGTCATGGAGTAATTTAATAAAAATATGCAAGGGCATTATACCATCATGTCAACTATATTTTATTGTTAAAGTGTCGTTATTTTATTATTATACGTCGAATTTCGGTCGCGTCGAATGCAATTTAAACAATAGATGAAGCTTAATGAGGTTTATCATCTCATTATCTATTGTTTGAATTTCAGTCGACGCGTCCAAAATTCGACTTATAAAGCAGGCCTTAAGCCGGTTTTCCACTTACGAAGTTTTTCGCGCGAGGCGAATTTTTCTTTTGTCTTTATCCAATTAGTTCCACATGGTTTCAGTTGAAAGACCAAAGACAAAGGAAAAATTCGACCTTTTTCCTTTGTCGGCATCCATTTCCGACAAAGGAAAAAGGTCACTTCGCGCGAGAAAATTCGCTAGAAAATTCGAAAAACGCGCAACTACTGATCAGTCACTCTGAAATTGGGTCGCTGTGGGCTAGCTGGAGATTTTAACTCTTTCTCCTTATGTCCCTATTAACGTAGACGTTCTAGAACGTGGACGTTCCTTTGCTGATTCATATCTTCGGTTCGATGCATGTTATCAAGACAAAAATACCACCATTCGGTTCAGTGAAACAATATCAACTAATTCCACTGGGAGTGAACTTATACACATCTCTATACAGTATGAGCGTTATGAACATAGCCTGTGGTCTATAGACGGTTCGTATTTCAAGGATAAAAGGAACCGCGCAGCAGGACACCGCGGACACGAAGGCCACAGATGAACAGAACCACGGAAGATCGCGGCGCTTCAGTCTCTCACATAGTGGTTAGCTGCGCATGCGCGGCTACCCACAAAAAGTGAAACTTATTAAAACCTAAACGTATATACATTAACACCGCGGAAAAACGTCTGCGCATGCACCAAATTATGAAAATATGGCGGGGAATTTGAATATCAATTTCTAAAACAAAAACATGCTTATTAATTGGTCAAAAATTAGTAAAACAAACGAGAAAATATAGCAAATGGGTAGACTAGACATTAATTGAAAGCGTCCTGGCATTTAAAGTATGTAATGAAATAGAATTCATGTAAAAAATTGTTGATTTTAACGGACACGACTTCGAAAATTTTTGCAAAATTATTCAAAACAAAAATTCAAACTCAAAAGTTAAGAAAACTCTCGAAAAGTTAAGCTTTTTAACCCACTCAAATTGTAGAATAAATCCAAAAGTTTAATTATTGTGAACACGAAAATTTTTTATATCTGGCGACACAGTTTTTTTTAAAGAAATGTATCTCAAACGAAAATTCGGAAATTGTCGTTGCTTAGTTGATAAACAAAATGTTTCAGACGATAAATTTGTCAACAATCACCTTTAGTTCATGTTCTTGTACAATGCAATTTCTTGAAACTTCTGGCTGTATTTATTCCTAGTTTTTAGAATGACATGTTTATTTTTGCGCTCGAAATCTGGCTGTAAAGACGCACAATGAAGTCACTCCTTTTTACCGCCATTTTGAGCCTACGGAAACGTTCGGAACAGCTTCTCCTCAAGTTCGCTATACTATTACAGGTAAGGTTGAGGCATGCGCAGACGTTTTTCCGCGGTGTTATATACATTATTTACGAGTTTTAAAACTTACTAAATGAAAAGCTAAAGCGCACAAGAATTATCACAGTAATTCAGGAAAAAGCTTCCTGGCAAGTTTAGTGCGTTCATTAATCTTGAGTTGACATTGATACCCCGTCGTCGAGTTGGCTGCCTCGTAGTAGCTAGATGTGGAAGCCAGTGAATCTAAGCCCATTACTTAATGTATCCCCGTTAATATATAACCGAATGCGATCAATTGAGACCAATATCGTTGACTAATATTATTATGCGACTATCGTTAATTCGAAAGGATCATATTTCAAGAAGAGATTCGTCATCCCTCAAAATTGATTATTGATAAGAACCAGTATGCTTATAGGGAAAACTCAAACACTACTGTAGCTCTCATAAAGTGCCGGCATCATTGGCTAAAATGGTTAGACGATAAGGCTAACTTCATTCGTGTAATATCCTTCGATTTCAGTAAAGCGTTTGACAGCGTCCCCACGATATTTTAACACAGAAATTGAAATCAACAAATCTTAACCCATATATTATCAATTTGCTCAATTTTATATCGTGTAGGAAACAGAGAGTTGCTGTAGATGGAACTGTTACCAATTTTGTTAACATCAACAGAGGAGTACCTCAAGGTACAGTTCTTGGCCCCTTCTTGTTTTCGTTAATGGTCAATGATATTGAAGTCAAACATCCACAAAAGAACAATTTGGCGAAGTCTGCAGATGATTTAACAGTGAGTGTTCCTGTCACACCGTCTGGTGACTCGGCTTAATTGGACGAGGTAACCAACATTGAGAGTTGGGCAAGTAACAATAGAATGACACTTAATTTAAAAAAACCCTGGGAATGTTACTATGTACTCGTTCATCCCCCCCCCCCTATTAATGGAATACGACGTCAAAAGTGGTTAAAACTACTTGGTGTCACCTTTCAAGAAAACCCACGTTGTCCCAAGACAAGCAGGTAGATAGCTTGTTGTCAAAGGCAGGAAGTCGAATTTACATCCTGAGAGTTTGTAAATTCTACGGGTGTTCGCAAAATGAACTTACTAAATTGTTCGATTCATTCATCCTATCGTTATTTTACTATGCAATTGAAGTATGGGGATCGGCTTTGCAAGCGAAATACATTGATAAATTCAACAGACAACAAGTTTCTTAATCGTGCATTCCGACATGGATACACTCAAAATAAATATTCAATGGCCAAGGTGATTGAGGAGAGGGATCGACTATTGTTCAATAAGGTCATGCACAATCCTGAACATTGCCTATATGAGTTGTTACCGGAAAAACGTCAACGACCTTTAAGAGAACGCGATCATCAATTTATGTTGCCAGAAGTATACACACAACGTTTTAAACAATGATTTTTAAATAAGTGTCTTTTTAATGACTTTTAAATTTTGTTATACGGTATATACCTTATTATAGGAAATTAACGATGCACTTTATTAACGCCACATAAATTAACGCGACATCAAATTAACGCGGATTGCTTCTAGGTCTGATATCCATGGTTGACAAATTAATTAAATTAACGCGAATCGGAAAATATAGACACAACAACAACAACAACAACAAAGGTTTAATGTTAAGAGGAGCACTGATGTTTTTAGTTTACGTTAATATGCTGTATTTCGATATTAAAAGAGTTAGTTTTATATCAAATCAAAACAAATCTAGGTATTTTTAACTAACGATAAATGAAAATTACATACTAGTGGAAACAAATAGCGAGTATTTCTAGGAAGCTGCCGCAACACTATTTTTCATGAGAATTCTCGCAACAAAAACTCACTAGCTATTTTTAGGAAATTATATTGACTCTCTTAGCGCGTTGTCCGCATGACTTGGTAAACGGAACTTTAATAAGGCGGATGAACAATTTATTACTGAAAAAAAGTTTTAAACGGAGATCGTTGCGACTGCTTGCGTCATATTGACGTCGGGGAAGTTCGAGAAACGCGTTACCACGCGTGTAACATGCTGTGAAAACATCGTTTTATACGACATCCTATCTGCATGGACGTTTTTTTATTCTTGCGCATCTATTGAATATAACACGATTTATGCTAGCGTTCCATACCGAAATGAGGGAGGGAATAAATTATATAAATACAGCAACTACAGTGAACAGTTGTAATCATTGTATGAAGTCAGTTTTCATGTAAGCAGCACCAAAAAAGCAGTGGTACAAGAAGGAAATACGAACTGTTATCGAACTAATACGAACCCCAATCCGGGGCGAAACGTCCAAAACTGACCACACCCAATTAAAAACGACGCTCTCGCCATAGTGCTATCTACCAAACCATAAAAGCTTTGGCTTTTCTGAGGTGCTTATATGGTTCAGAGATGGTGCTTTTACGGGTGGTCATTGGTAAGTGTGAAATGCCTAGCACTGATATTTTACAAGAAAATGACCGTTTTTCACTCATTTTGTATTACGCACGGGAAATTGACAGCCCAATCGGGTGTTGGGGCATCAATTTCCCGTTTGTAATACAAAATGACTGAAAATTGCAAATTTCGCAAGGCTATATTATCCGTATTTTACAACATTTCGCAACGAAACTTTGGAATATTACTAATTTTGTGATGCTCTTTCAAGCTGTGATGAAATTTTTGTCTAGATCAAAATTTAGTCTATAATGCAAATGGTGCATTCGGCCTTGTTATTCTTCCATCCAAGCCATTTTCATTCCACTAATAACAAATTGAACCCTTTGTTAAGGGTATCAAAATAAATATGTAAACAAAATAGAAAAAATGCAGCATTTTATCACCCTATAAAATGTTGTTTACGAGTCTTTCAAAACATTCCATACAAGTCTCGCGTGGCAAATTAAAGCAATCTACCTTATAACTTTTGCCATGAACTTGCCATAAATTTTTGTCATATTTCAATTATGTACATTTTAATAAAAAAGACGGTACCCTAACCCTATACTCCTAACCGTTTTTACTCGTCAACAGGGAAGCTCTGCTAGGCATGTCCCGATTGTGCTCGGCAACTTTTTTGCGTTTTTGCCTATAGGCATGCATATTAATTGTTGAAAGCACAAGTAAATGAAAGATCTGATGCTTTTTACAACAAGTTTAAAGAGCTCATTTCTATACAGTACTGTACATTTATTATATTGGGGGGGGACTATTTTTTAGAATTCATGTGAAGGGGGTCATTGAATTTTGTGTGATGCAGGGGGTGGGGCAAGACATTTTGGTTAGTTGTTAATTGAATTTTGCCAGCCCACCCCCGGTCATAAATAATGAATGGTCCCTAATAAACAGCTAGGATCTGCTTGAAACCTATTTAAAACTTGTTTAAAATGTGCTCGATACCATTATGTCTGAGCTGCCGTACATATTTGGAAGGTTTCAACGAGATTGGCGATAAACAGCGGAGTTTTAAAATTGGAGAATTTGGCCAAATACGTCCATTTGCGGTCACAAAGTATTAACTATTTTACAGCAAAACAGTGTCAATATACTTAAATAAGTACCAATTATGTTTCTATAAAAAAGATTTAGGAAAAAAGGTAATGTAGGTCCACTGCTGTTTATCTGAATTTGAGTCACAAATTGACGTTTGACTACGAGTATTGCATGGTCATTTTCTTGTGAAATATCAGTGCTAGGCATTTCACACTTACCAATGACCACCCCTAAAAGCATCATCTCTGAACCATATAAGCACCTCAGAATAGTCAAAGCTTTTATGGTTTGGTAGATAGCACTATGGCGAGAGCGTCATTTTTGGGTGTGGTCAGGTTTGGACGTTTCGCCCCGGATTGGGGTTCGGGCAGCGTTACCATGTCGACCGTCATGGTCAACTTGCCCTAAAACAGTTATTTTATCTGTCCTAAATGAAATGCATACAAACTCATATACTTAGACTAAGTGTAATTCGTATCTAAATATACTTTTGGTGTGTAATATACAGATTGCAATTATTAGTTTTGCGGCTTTCTACAATCCTGGCCAAAAACCATAGAACGACGGGCGTTTTTCTCCTTATATCACCTCCTCCCCCCCCCCCCCCCATTAAACATTGTTTTATGTAACAACTGAATAGCTGGAAAACTGGCACAACATTACTGCGACCGAAACAACATTGAATGGGGTGTGCGGGGGATTTGTCATATATACTTATAAAATGTAACAAAAATAAATTTTGAGGGAAACTAGTGCAAACATTTAGTCGTTCCAGACAATGAATCAGAATAATGACATTTCTACTCATTGTCAATTGCGTTCCCCAAGTGAGGACTTTGGGAGGAATCTCATTCCTGAGTGGATTGGTAG